TCCTGGTGGCTGACCCACCTCATCTGTTGGGTCGTAGTACTGCTCCAGGTAGGGGTGAGCCAGGGCTTCTTCTACTGTGATCCGTTTATTAGGGTTAAAGGTCAACATCCGGTCCAGCAGGTCAAGGGCTAAGGAAGGGCAGGAATCAGGGGTCAACGGGAAGGCTCGGGAAGTTCCCAGAAGTACTGTTTTGCTTCTCTGTGCCCAGGGGGCCTGTCTACTCAGGCAGCTGCTGGGCTTGCACCCAGCTTTCACCCCCCGTCAGCCCCCATGTCGCTCTCACCTTTGGAGTCTGACTTGGGGAAGAGCTTGGCCCAGGCCACCTTGGTCTTGGAAGGCAGAGACTGCAGGTAGTTCCGGGCCTTCATGTTGATGATACAATTCAGGTCCTCTTGGGATGGGGAACCCAGGATGCCTATGGGTAGGGCAGGTGACTTGGTGAGAGATCCTCTCTCCCTTCTGGGAACAGAAGGAGCCAAGCACAGGAGCTCCCACAACCCATCCCATGCCCTGACAGTTATCGCCAGCCAATACTATGATGATGAAGCCAGGGGTCGGGACGCGGGCAGCCCTCAGTTCAGATCTCAGCTCCAGCACTTCCTTGCTTTTCCCATGTGCCAGCGGGAGAGCATCTATATCACTGACATACTGTGAGGTGCTGCAGAGGCTCCAAATGTGGTGGGACCCCTGATCCGACTCCCACACTCACCGACCCTGACCCCAAAGAAATCTCACTTCCAACAGACTAACCTCCCTTCCCCTCAGCTGGCCAGGCCCCCTCACCCAGAATGTGGTTGAGCTGGTCCAGGTAGTGCTTGCCAGGGAAGATGGGCCGGTTGGAGAGCATTTCAGCCAGAATGCAGCCCACAGACCAGATATCGATGGACTTGGTGTAGCCCTGGGGAGGGGGAGAAAGTGGTGGGTCCCGGGGCCAGCCTCAACAGGTCCCTGTTGTCTGGGCCAAGCCACCACCCCAACCTGGATTCAATGCTGCAGGAGGCAAAGAGCAGAGCCTGGGAAGAGCTAGTGCTTAGCTTCTTTCCAGACCCCAAGGACCAGAGTAATGTGACCTGGCCCAGGGGGTCCCTGCCTGGCTCAGAGGCGGCTCCAGGGCTCCCAGGGACCTGGCCCCTTCCCTTTGGGGGTGGGTAGGCGGGCCCCCTACCTTGGAGTTCAGCATGATCTCTGGGGCCCGGTACCAGCGCGTGGCCACGTATTCTGTCAGGAAGCCCGTGTGGTCATGCTCGGGATCGGCGATCCGGGCCAGGCCAAAATCGCAGATCTGGAATCCAACCGGGGCTGCTAAGCTTGGTGCTCAAGGCCTCCCCGCCCAAGCAGTCATTTCGCCATGCCCCTGCCCATGCTGTTCCCCTGGCTGGCAGTGCCCTCCTGCTCCGGGGGGCCATGAGTCAAATGGAAGCCCCAGACCCCGGCGGGAGGAGGGAACAGGCACCCAGTCCCCTGACCTTAAGGTCGCAGGTGGTGTTGATGAGCAGGTTGGAGGGCTTTAAATCCCGGTGGAGCACGTTAGCTGAGTGGATATACTTGAGGCCCCGCAGGATCTGGTAGAGGAAGTAGCAGACGTGGTCGTTGCTCAGCTGCTGGCTTTTGAGCAACTTGTACAGGTCTGTCTCCATCAGGTCCTGCACAATGTAGCTGAGGGTGGTATCGGAGACCCCACAGGAGGGGGCAGCAGGAGGCACTTGGTTAAGAAGAACGGGCTCTGGTGACTAGGCCCCGAATGCCCTCCAGCTGGCGCCCCTCAGACTCAACAGATCTGCCAACCCCCATTACAGGCGGGGCAAGGCCCAGGCTCTCAGCCTCTGCTGCATCTCAGCTGGTGACCCGAGCAAAAGCGCTTCAGTTCTGCAGGAGGCAGGAGACCTCCAGCGAAGAGCAGCAGCTCTGGGGTTAACCTGCTGTGTCTGAAATCCCCACCCCCTGCTCATCGGTTTTACCGCCTCAACCTGTCTGCACCTCTATTTCCTCGTCTGAAAAGTAGGAAAAAGAATGGTTCTTTCGAGAGTGGTTGTGATGATGAGATGAGATGACCCATGTAAAGAAGCCAGCCCAGTGCTTGGCACGCTGTAAGTGTTCAGCAACATGAACTCGTGTTGCTATTATAAATGCCTGAGCCACATGGCTGTTGAGAGGGTTAAATGAGATAATGTATGCATACCATCTGGCATGCAATAAATGTTTGCTTAAAAATAAATGCCTACCTTATGGGAATGGTTTGTGCAAGACAAATGAGGAGACACTCCCAACAGCACGCTCCTGTTCAAAGAGTGCTTGGCCATGCATCAGAAGAGAGAGGAGTAAATGTCCTTAGATAATTTAAGATTAAACTTGCATGCATGCATGCATACATACATACACACGTCTCTTGGCTTGTCTCTACAAGAATAAGGGCTGTCTTCTAGAATCAGCCCCACAGGGCCTTCTGAGAACATGTGGGCCAACCCTGTTTTATAGATGAAGGTGCTGAAGGTCACACGGCGAGCTGGGAGTGAGCGTGGAGGTTTCCTGCCCGCAGTTTGTGGTGGGGGCCTGCAGACGCCGCGGTACCAATCCCCATGCTTGGGTGGAGAACTGGGACCGACGGGGGGTGGGTGGAGTGGGGGAGAGGTGACAGTATTAGAAGCTGCTAACAACAGAGGCAGGCAGGAAGTGGACAGCAAACTAGGAAAGTGATATGTGGGGAGGGCAACAAAGGCCAGGCTGGCCCTCCCTGGGCAAGGTGCAAGGCCACAGGTGACTGGGTGGGGCTCCCAGCAGGAAGTCCTGGAGAAAGGACAGGGTTTCTTTTGGGGGAGGGGCAGAGGCAGCAACTGAAGGCTTTCTGAGCCTCAATCTCCTCATCTACGAAAGGGAGCCGAGACCTGTCTCATCGGGCAGGTGGGAGGTAGAATTCGAAATGTGAAAGCCCTGGGCGTGCACAGCGCCTGAACTGCATAGTAGGCCCTCAGAGAGGGGCAGCTTTCTTCTTGCCTCCCAGGCTGAGGACCCAGAGGGGAAAGAAGAACTGGCTGTGGGCAGAGGCTGGGTCCTGTCACAATACTGGACATATCAGGAGACAAAGCCCCATAGAGACCATCTTGCCCAGACCCCACAGCGGCACAGCAGAGAGAGCAGCCGTGCCCCAGGCCACACTGCCTGGCTGCAGCAGGCCAGGATTCACCCGGGGCCGCCCAGCCTCCCACCTCCTGTGGCCTCTTTTCCGTTAGGTTTCTCTTACTGGGCTTGTTCTGGAGGGTGATAGGGAAGAAGGAAACAGAAAGAAACCCAATGTTCCCCCAGCCCAGCTCTGAGGCCGCCTGGCAGCCAGCTGGCCAAGTGAAGGATACACATCCCTCATGGCATCCAGGGTAGGTGCCCGAAGAATGTCTCGGATGCTGATGACATTCTCGTGGCGGAAGCGCAGCAAGATCTGGATTTCCCGCAGCGTGCGCTGGCAGTAGGTCTGGTGCTCGAAGGGGCTGATTTTCTTGATGGCCACGCGTGTCTTGCGGACGTGGTCGTAAGCTGAGCTGAGAGGGCCAGAGAGGTGGTGTTGGTGTGGTCCTACATAGGGGGAGTCCAGGCCAGCTGGCCCCACCCAGGCCGTGGCCGGGAAGGGAGGGAGCCGAGTGGGCTCTGGCCAAGTCGTAAACAATGCTGGTTCCTTCCTGCTGCGAAGGCCTGCGCTCTCCAGGGAGAAAGCTGGGGACCGGCCAGGCAGCCCTTCGGTGACTTCACAAAGAGAGGAAGAGCGGCCGCTCAGACTTCCCCTCTCTGCAGCCCGCTCCCTTCGAGCTGCCCTGCCCCGCCCCGCGATGGGCTCCCGCAGCCTGGACAGGTCGGGGGCTGGGAGACGAGTGCAGGGCAGACAGTGAGGCAAATACCGGGAGAAGGAGGGAGTCACGGGGGCTGGAGGGAGGCATGAGGCAGGCAGGGCTGTCAGGGCAGCAGAGCTGTTCCCCATGAACAAAGCCCAGGGCACACCGTGGGGAGGGGAAAACGCACAGGCCACCCCCCCACCCCAAGTTGCGGGAGGCGCTCCGGGCCCAGCCCAGCACCGCCCAGCCCTGTGCGCTGCTCGGCTCTCCCGAACCCCTCGCCGGCCTCCCCTGGGCACCCCAGGCATCCCCCCCAGAGGAGGGTCCGCACTCCCTCTCCACTAAGGGCGGCACCGTCCCAGACCCCATTCTCCTCACCGCACCCCCGTGCACAGGGCCCCGGGCCCCGCAGCTCCCCCACACCCAGATCCCCCCCC